GGGTATTTTGCATCAAGGTACGTTAATTAAATTACAGAGCACGTAACCCTATAAGTATATAAGCACTTGTACGTGTGTTTCCACACGCACGCCGCATTACATACGCACAATCGCACCATCTCTTTCTCGTCTCTCTTGTACGACCAAAGAACAGTAGCCGCACGCAGAAGAAGAAGAAGAAGAAGAAGAAGAAGAAGAAGAGGAGGAGGAGAGAAACCTCGTCATTGATTCATCGTACCAGCATCGTCGTCTCTAGGTTCCATCTTTTGTAGTTCCTCCGTCAAATTTGAGGTGGGTACGTGTGGACATCTAAAGCTAGGTTACATCTATGGATTTGAATCTTACATTCATAGGATCATTACTGTTAATTTACATTCATAGGATCATTACGGTTGATTTGGTTAGGTTGAACACATGAATAGGTGTGATTTCAATCATGGAAACGTTGGATATTGTTAGGAATCAGTTTATGAACATGTTGATGTTAAATCTTATGGAATTGATGTTGAATTGTGGCTGTTATTCGAAATGATCAAAAACTAGGTTTCTATCACGTCAGACGGTAGCCCAGTACCTCCTGTCGGTACTGTACTACTGTCACAAATCGTTCTCCTATACCGAACCATGGAGACAGCCAGTACCCACCTACTAGACAGATGGTAGCCCATACCGCATGCCCAAGCGGTAGCCAGCTATCGTCAAAGGCCACTGGGTGCTGGCGTTCTCTGTTATAGCCGTTAACCAGGTGCACCAGACGGTATTAGTACCCAGGTACCGTGACCGGTACCACCGGGTACTGCTATTTTTGTTTATGAACCTGTTTTCGTGTCAGGAATTGATTCTGAGACATTGTATGTGCATGACGGTAAGCATGGGTATTCATACCAAAAGCTAGGCGATGTTTGTCTAGTATTGGTTGTATTTGGGTGTGTAATTCTCGTTACTTAATGTTATGCATTTATGAATGTAAGGTTAAATTGTTGAAATAGTTTATCTACAAGAACTTTAGGACTGACCTTGATAGAATAGAGGCAAGTTATGGAATAAATATAAAGTGGTTAGAGCGATATGGTATCTGCTGGGTCCAATGGCTATTCGGGTACAATCATGCTCATGGCGATCAAAGAACTGTCGATCTAAAGAGGACTGGGATCTCACCCACCCAACAAGGAACTCTCGAGTGGGTTTGAGCTTGACCTTCATTCTGAAGCAGAAAGTCATGACTCTATAGGCAAGCCGTATAAAATAAGCCTTAAACTAGAATATGTTTTGAGCTAGAGACAATATAAGTTAAGTGACTAAAATAGTAAGTATGATATATTCATGTTTAATGAAAATATACTTTGTTATGAAGTGCTTATGCTGATATATTTATTATGCGCTTGTATGTATGATATCGTGTAATGTTATGAGCTAGTGAGTTCATCTGTATGTGTAGTCAATTGTTAGATATTTCTCACTTAACTTCAATGATGAGCGTGTGGCGTTTGTACCTTTGCTACACGTAGGTAATTAAGGTCAAGATGAACCTGGACCCAATCTTGGAGGGCGATGATGACGCAGAGATGTGCGTGGGCAAATATGAAGATTCTAAATTCTTATTTATTTCCAAATGACTTATTACTTTTACGGGCTTGATTCCTAAGTTTTGTTTAAATAATGACTTAAGCTTCCGCACTACTTTTAATTACTTCGATGAATGTTTGAATCATGTTTTGGGATTGTTTATTTTAAATTGTTTTGAAAATAAGATGTGTTTGTAACACCCTAATTCGTCCATATTTGCAGCATCTTTCGGACTAAAGTATAAACTTGGTAATCGTAAAATTTAAAACATTTCAAACACTTTTATTCATCACCAAATATTATTCATAACAGAAACAATACTGAGTTTTTAATGTTGCGGAATCTTAACAAATCACAATCATAAAATATAATGAATTCATGTCTTTTGAAATAATGGTTCAAAACCATCACATCAATCCTGACAATCTCACCCCGTCTACCACTAGGATCACGTTACATCACTCTTTCGGTTTACCTGCGTGTAGCAAATACGGCATACTACACACTTAGCGGTGAAGCTGAGTAAGAATATCTAATGCATCAAACATCCACATAAAATGAATCTCAATTCATAATCAAATCATTTGTTATCATGAACATAATATTCATGTCTGATATTCAATATTCATATATCAACAGTGCTCTTAAATTATTCTTAGTCTAAGGCCAAATCAAAACAACATTTTAAAACTATTCATAGTATAATGCCACATTCATATTTTCATAACCGAACTTTTAAACTATGGCTAGTTTAAGGCTTCATTTTATTAACTAGATTCTTAAACTATAATTAGTTTAAGACTATTTTGTTTGATTAACCAGATTCTTAAACTATAATTAGTTTAAGGCAAGTAATAACCAAACTCTTAAACTGTAATTAGTTTAAGGAAAATAATGACCAGACTCTTAAACTATATTTAGTTTAAGGCAGAAAAGCAAACATCAGACTACTCACTATTGGGTTGGGTTGTACCCCCAAACGAATAGATACTCAATTTTATTTTATGGATCTCGTACGTACATTTTAACCTGAGCCACCGGACATCATACCCGCAAGGCCTAACAAGATTGGTCATATGGGGTCTATTTTAGTGTTCGTCTAGATAGCCTTAATCATTCGTAATTGTCATTTAATCAAGATATTCACACAAACTTATTCAATCACAATTATCTTTACGGTTTATTTGTTAATAACAATATTTTGATATTTTGTCAAGATAAGACTGTCATCATTATATAATCATAATCACACATGGCATTATTTTAACCATCATAATTAATATTCAATGAAATCATTATCAACATCATTTCATTATTAACTCATTATTCAATCAGCATAATCAATAATCTACGATAATCATCATAATACTTTAAAACAACTAGCGGTCTTACATCGAGTGTTAACACCCTAGCTTATTGTCATGCATCATACAAGGTTTTTGATTTCATCAAAACATCATATTTAGCTTACAAATGATATTCATACTGATTTATAATTGAATGGTATCAAAAATAGGATTTTGCTATTCAAAAATTAGGTTTGTGAAATTTTTTTCATTTCAGACAGTATCGTTACGGTACCTCGCTACTGGTACACGGTACCTCAATACCGTCCGGACGTTATGTGGTACTGCATGGTGTGAGGTACTGCTAGAGAAATTTGGCTTGTGACGGTACCTGCCAACCGTTACCGCCAGTATGGCCTACCGTTCAGGCACTACCTTGGTATAGTGTCGACGGTAGCTCGATACTGTCTCTGCGCGAGTTTTGAATAGTGTCATTTTCAACTTCAAGCCAATTTTCGAAAACTTCATTTTTAGCCATCAAACTTTAATTAGACTATATAGAAAGGTTCTCCAAAGTTCAGAGATCATTTTGGTATCATTAATTCGAAGTTTTAATAACAATTTCAAGTTTTATGATTCTTGGTTCTTTAAGCATGTCAAACACAAAACCCAATTAAACGACCGTTTATGATAATAGAAATGATTAATATGAACATTCTAATCACTAGACATATCCAAGGGCTTACCTAGGGCGAAAATGGAGGTTTTGGAAAAATACTGACAAAACTTCTAGCGAGGATTGCTACCAACTTCGGTGACCTCTCACTCTATGGACATCATCACATCACTCCCCACACTCCAAGGATCTCATAACAAGAAGAAATAAGGAGAATGGTAAAGAAATGGGAAGATTGAGTGTCTCTTATATAGTGAAGAAGAGGAGGAAGAAGGCATTGGCTTAGTCAGGATTCCAATTAGCCAATCTTTAATCGGCAGAAGTGCGTCTTCAGGGAGATTTACACATTTATGGCTCAATGGGACTAATATTGGTCCTAGTCTGGGTACACTTTTTTGTCTAACTTTCTTTCAAATTAAACTCTGATTGTAACATTGCAATCAAACGGTCAAATTTTACACAACAGTATAATTTTGGAAATCAATTGACAAACTTTATAAATCACATATTTTTGGGTCCTTCTCACTAATTTATTAATTATCAATTAATTAATTTTGATAGGCCTGTTTTCAGGGTGTTATATTTCTCTCTTCCTTAAAATAAGGTTGAAGAAATTCGGATATTTCATTCTCATTGACTCTTCGGTTTTGCAAGAAACTTCTTCAGTTCAGTGATTCCTCCAATGTACTTTGACTAGAGGAACAGACTTGTTTCTCGGTTCCTTGATTTCACGTGCCAAAATTTGAACAGGTTCTTCTTCATAGCTCAAACGTTCGTGTTGAAGACTTGTCATGCGGTCGAAAATAAATTAAAAATTTATAAAATATCCTTAGCTAACCCCAAATATATAATCAAATAAAACCTATAGCTAGGGCAAGTAAGGGTCGATCCCACGGAGAAAGTTTGTACTTTTGAAATCAATATAGCATGCAAACACGTTGTCACTAAAAAAATTTAACTACTTCAAGAATATACTTTTATTCATTTTTTTTAGTTTTTTGTCAATGAATATAAGAATATTAACAAATATTTGAAATACTATTTGTTATCATTTGTTTTTTATTTTGTGAAATATAAACTAAGTTTTAATAAGCATTATTTGCACTAATTTTCCTTTTAAATGTTATTTTTTAAATGTATTTTCAATTTTTTCATAAATAAAAAAGGTTTGTTACATTTTAAATTGTGAACTAAGTATATGTATTCATCCCAATTTGTAACGAAATTCATACCAAACCATTACAAATCTATATTTCGAGATCAAAATCGGTATGACGTAAAACGTCATATAGATTCAAAATATTGAGTATGATATCAATATTGAGTCTTGGGCGTTCCTTCCACCCCATGCTATTGGGAGACAAAGGAGGATGAGCAACGGGTCCTACTACTACTACTACTACCAGGCAGGCACCAGCTTCTCCTGCACTCTTCCGTAGCATCGCCTGCTAAAGTCAATCCTCTCTGTGGCGGGAAAATTCAGCCGCACCCTATTATACACCCCTCCAAATCCAAAGCGGCGGAATTCAAAAATCAAAACCCCAAATCCAACCCGAAACTGCTGCTCCCATTTATCTTCATTTCAAGAATCCCCGATCCACTAACCAGCGGTTCGATCAAACTTCTGACCGACGAAAAGAAGAAGAAGAAGAAGAAGAAGAAGAAGAAATGTACGTGGTGAAGAGAGATGGGCGACAGGAGGCCGTAAGCTTCGACAAAATCACTGCAAAGCTGCAGAAGCTTAGCTATGGTCTCAGCCCCGAGCACTGTGACCCGGTGCTCGTTTCCCAGAAAGTCTCTGCCGGTGTCTACAAGGGTGTCACCACCAGCCAGCTTGACGAATTGGCTGCGGAGACTGCAGCCGCCATGACTACTCACCACCCGGACTATGCATCTGTAAGTATTCATCAATAACAAGGGTCTGTTTTGGTTCTACCGATTTGTTCTGCTCGTATAACTGCACGTTTTCTTGGGATGTCTTTTCTATTTTGAAATTTGAAAAATGGGGTTTTTACTTGTACTGTACTTGGATTCAAGATCTCGTATTTGGGTTTTTTTCGTGTGTGTGAAAGGAGTAGTATTTGTTGGTGATATGCTGCTTTAGGTGCTGGCATAACTGGATCAATTTTAAGTAATGAAGGGATTTTTTTGTCTGAACTGACTACTGTTTTGTTTTGGTTGGAATTGAAATGTGTTTATTGCAGCTTGCTGCAAGGATTGCTGTTTCTAATCTTCATAAAAGCACCAAGAATTCATTTTCTGAGACGTAAGAGCTTTGCTTTTAATTTGTTGTTTGTGGTATAATTACATAAGACTCTGGTAACTGAGAAGCATGTGTTGGGTCTATGTGGGTGTTGCAGTGTCAAAGACATGTACTACCACGTCGATGATAAATCTGGACGAAAGGCGCCCCTGATTGCTGATGATGTATATGAGATAATCATGCAGGTATTATTATCTTTTTTGTCATTCGTTCACAACCTTTGATTTGTAGCTTGTTTTAAATGTAGGCAGATGCTGTGAGTTTATATGGTTTATTTCATATGCTTTGATCCTCTGTTGTTCGTCTGATTAGACTAACGGTGAGTTAAACAGCTGACAATTGACAAATAATCTTAATGAAGTTTTGTGTGTGTGTTAACAATCATTACACAACTTTTTAAAATTGAACATTTTTTTCTCTCGTATGATTCTTGTTAGCCTCTTTGCCAATGGAGCTAAAGTCTAAAAGAGTCATTTTTACAATGGTTTAGCTCTACACAAAAAATGGAGCTCAATCAAAATGGCATACTCATTTTCTATGAAGGTTTGGGTTGTAAATGCACCAAAGCATCAATGTTGTAATGGGAACAACCACTCTATTTTTTACAGGGGCAAGGTTGTGTATATCTTGACCCTAGCCACCAACGGAATTGAGATTACACTGGGTTTGTTGTTGTTACTTCTGTTTGTTGTTCCATTTAATCTAGTCTCTTGTAAGTTTAGTGAACTATTGAATAGGGCTACTAAATGCCCCATTCGCATGTGATATCTGCTGTTCATCATTTTGGTGCTTTTGTCTTAGCCCAGTACACATTTTAACTAGTTTCTCTTTTACGTGTCTCTCAGAATGCTTCTCGTCTCGACAGTGAGATCATATATGACAGAGACTTTGATTATGATTACTTCGGTTTCAAAACTCTGGAGAGGTCATACCTCTTAAAAGTTCAAGGAAAAGTTGTTGAAAGGCCACAGCACATGTTGATGAGGGTTTCTGTTGGCATCCACAAGGATGATATTGAATCTGCCATCAAGACATACCATTTGATGTCTCAAAGATGGTTCACGCATGCATCTCCAACTCTTTTTAATGCTGGAACTCCAAGGCCTCAGGTAGTTCAAATAGCCACACATTATCTATGTTTCAAGCTCACAAGCACTGTTTCTTTGCTATGTTTTTGTATTATACCACAATCAAATTGTTACTACTTACATGGCTTCTCACATTGTTCTATTATTTTGCTCACAGTTGAGTAGTTGCTTCCTTATCTGCATGAAGGAAGATAGCATTGATGGAATATATGACACTCTCAAGGAGTGTGCTGTAATCAGTAAATCGGCAGGAGGAATTGGTTTGTCTGCTCACAATATCCGAGCTACAGGGAGTTACATCCGCGGAACAAATGGTACATCCAATGGGATTGTTCCTATGCTGCGCGTGTTCAATGATACTGCACGATATGTTGACCAAGGTGGCGGGAAAAGAAAAGGCATGTCAACACATTCTTCTGCTCTACTTCCAATGGTTAAGATGAGGCGTACTTCTTATTGATTTTTCTAATATGGATTTGTGCTCCTTACAGGGGCTTTTGCTGTGTATCTTGAGCCTTGGCATGCAGATATCTTTGACTTTCTGGATTTGAGAAAAAACCATGGAAAGGTACTGTTGGATTCATTTTGTTCTTGCCTGCTTAGTTTTTAGTTGAACAAGAATTGTTGTGGTTATCTTGCACAAGATTCTCAACTCATTGTACAAACGTATTGTTTACCATAAGTAATTTTTAAAGTGTGTGGTCATGTCTCATTTTCCAGGAAGAGCATCGAGCACGTGATCTTTTTTATGCTCTCTGGATACCCGATTTATTCATGAAGAGAGTCCAAACTGATGGGCAATGGTCACTATTTTGCCCAAATGAGGCCCCTGGATTGGCAGATTGCTGGGGTGAAGAGTTTGAAAAACTCTATATGCAGTATGAAATAGAGGTACTTGTTAGCTTGTTGCACTGCTATGTACACCAAATGGTTCTGTTGTTTGTACGTGTATTCTCATTAATATATTTTTCCTCTCATTTGGCACAGGGTAAAGCTAAGAAAGTTGTTAAGGCACATGATCTGTGGTTTGAGATTTTAAAATCCCAGATAGAGACTGGAACTCCTTACATGCTCTTTAAAGTGAGTAATGAATTGCATCTGCTTTGAATGGTTTGTGCGTGCTAGAATCTTATTCCACTTTTATCTTTACTTATATAATCTTCATATCATTGTAGGATTCTTGCAATAAAAAAAGCAACCAACAGAATCTTGGCACAATTAAATCTTCTAACTTGTGTACTGAGATTATTCAATACACAAGTCCAGATGAAACTGCTGTCTGCAATTTGGCTTCAATTGCATTGCCACGATTTATCAGGGAGAAGGTAATCATTTCTATACAGTAATCATGGGAATAAGAATCCTGCATAGTACTGATCAATTGTTGTATAGCAATTTTTTGAACATTCAGGGTTATGCATGCGTACTCTACTACTCTAGAGGAGCTGTTTGACAATGAGATTTTTGGGCTAAGGACAACTATTAAAAGCTATTGTTAAAAATCTTTTGGGAAAGCTTTTTGGTCCCTAAAATTTGATTTTCAAAATAGACCTTGTTTTAAGCGCTTTGGGAGAACTACCCACACGACTTACACAATTAGGCAAAATAGCTAGGCAAGAGTGCTATTATTCTTTAACCAAGAATGCCCGATTCTTATCATCAATCTATGTGCAGGGGGTCACAATTGAGTCTCAACCATCTAAGCTTGTTGGCAGTTTGGATTCCAAAAACCGGTACTTTGACTTTGACAAACTGGCCGAGGTCTGACATCTTACATCATGCAAATATCTCTGGTGTCTAATCATATAATTCTGTGGGTTTTAAGTAAGGTTCTTTTTGAAACAGGTCACTGCAGTAATCACAGCTAACCTGAATAAAATAATTGATATAAATTATTATCCTGTTGAAACTGCAAAAATGTCTAATTTCCGGCACAGGCCAATTGGAATCGGGGTGCAAGGCCTCGCAGACACATTCATATTGCTTGGCATGGCTTTTGATTCACCAGAGGTAAAACCTATTTTTGTTTAATGTGAGAGTTGTCTAGTTCCTCCGTGTGCATTTAATTTCTAAGGGTATGTATGCAGGCTCAACAACTAAACAAGGAAATATTTGAGACAATATACTATCATGCTCTAGATAGTTCTTCTGAGCTGGCAGCTAAGGAAGGCCCCTATGAGTCGTATGATGGAAGTCCTGTGAGCAAGGTATAGAACAACAAACTAAACCCAGTATAGTCCTAATTCCGCTGAGGTCAGGGGGTAAAGATGTACGCAATGTTACCCCTGTATTAAAGACTTTCCATTAGATCCTTGTTACATTATGCATTTACACCCCAACACTCCATAAGCAGTAAGAAGCAAAGGAAATTTAATGTTCTATTTTGATTTAGTCTATTATTTACCCAAAGCTAATAAATGATTGTCAATAATGACTCTTTTAGCTTATTTGAAAAAGGTGATGGCTGTTGCATTAAATATGGTGCCTTGTTACTTAATTGGGTCCTTGGAGATATTTCATAATTCTAACACCTCAAATTGGGTGGCAGGGTATCCTCCAACCTGATATGTGGGAAGTGACCCCTTCAGCTCGATGGGATTGGAGTACTCTCCGAACAAGAATAGAAAAGAATGGAGTGAGAAATTCCCTTCTTTTAGCTCCAATGCCGACTGCTTCAACAAGCCAAATTCTTGGGAATAATGAATGTTTCGAGCCATACACGTCTAATATCTACAGCCGCAGAGTCTTAAGGTTTGTTTGCTGCCAGTTTATTTTACATTTTTAGAAGATGACTTTATGTTTAAGCCATTTGGTTTTACTTTCTTTTGTTTCTTTTGCAGTGGTGAATTTGTTGTTGTGAACAAGCATCTTCTCTATGATCTTACCAAGATGGGGCTTTGGTCACCTGCTCTTAAGAACCAGATTATACATGAGGATGGATCTGTGCAAAAAATCCCCGAGATTCCCAAAGACCTTAAAGCAATTTACAAGTATGAGTTTGCATTGTGTGTTCTCACTCCCTTCACGTCTGTTACATATAAACGTATATGACGTGCTAAATGTTTTCTTCCCCAACAAAATATACTGACTGTAGGAGCGTTTGGGAGATCAAACAAAGAGTTTTGGTTGATATGGCTGCTGATCGTGGATGCTATATAGACCAAAGTCAAAGCCTTAACATCCATATGGACCAACCTAGTTTTGGAAAGCTTACTTCTCTTCACTTCTACACATGGTCCAGGGTATGTATCTCATCAACACATTTCTTTTAGAAGTGTTATTATTTGGTTGGAGTGAAAGAAAAGGATTCTTTTACCTGTATTTTGAGTATAACATATATATATATACTTAGTAAATTTTTTTCCCACACTTCTATAACATATCGTGTTCTTGATCCCATTCCACTCTCCATTCCAGTCATTTTTTTGCTAAATTGTCTCCAAATAATTCTTCCATGCAGGGCTTAAAAACTGGAATGTACTATCTAAGAACACGTGCAGCCGCCGATGCCATCAAGTTTACAGTTGACGCATCCATCCTCAACAAGGTAGGTATTCATTGCCTACGTACAGTTTGTAGATCCTCACTGCATTCAATCAATACTTGCACGGCCTAATCTAAACCCACCCTCCGGTAATTGTAGGAAAACCCCATCACAGGCGCCGATGATGAAACAAAAATGGCACAGATGGTGTGTTCTTTAACGAACCGTGAAGAGTGCATGGCATGTGGAAGCTAGAAGTCCTTTGCCATTTCTCAGAGCATAACACTTGTGCTTTTTTACCTGAAGGTTAAATATTGTGTACATAGTTAGGTTAGGGGTTATGTAATTCTGCTCAAACTCTTTGTCATCTTTAAAACAAACTGCTGGACATGTGATGAAGCCTAAACTATTATAGACTATATATGCATAGGCTTTCCGAGGGAGATAGCTCTGTTTGGGGGAGGAAGGATTTGCCAAATTCTTTCATATATTTAAGATTTTAAGGTCCAAAATATCACTTCATATGATGCAGTCTTAAATACTATTTCCTATTTTTGTTATATCTTATCTTACTTGTCCTATAAGGTGAGATGTAATGTAGAGGTGTGGTGTTGTATACCCTATAAATACTGGAACCTTCTTGATATCAATCAACGAGATATTTCCCTTTAATTCTCTCTTCCTCTCTGCAAACCTCTCTTTCTCTCTCTTATTTGTTACAGGCCTCCGAACTCTCTTCTTCCCTGAAGGGTTCCTACGTCCGTATCATCATATAAGCCAAATGAACATTTGTTTATAACAAGATACTCAACCCGTTATGATTGATATTTCTAGTTCAATACTTCATTTGTCTTAAAAAAATTCTTTATCGTTGGTTGAATTTTACTAACTTTGACTATCAATTATTTAAAAAAATAATCTGTATGTAGCTATAATGTAAAGTTAATGTAATTGGATTTATTATAAAATATATACTTTAGATATATTCCTTCCGTTCTATATCTTTCTTCCCGTTGCGCAAAACGAAAAAAATCCCAAGTTTTTTCAATCTATTTTATTTAAATATTGGTATAGAAATAAAAAATAAAATATACATATTTAAAAACTACATCAAAAGTTCAACAAAACAAGTGGTGACAAGAATATTTTATTTTATCATATAGGCCATGAAAAAACACAAATAAATATAAATTCCCGTGAAGTTGAAATAGTGCTCTGAGAAGAAAGTTTTAGGACGGAGGGAGTATCAAATTTTATACGTAGTTAAGAATTATTTATTTACTTATAGGTATACTGTTTCTAGCTTGACACAAGCTACAAATCCCCAAAATCAGAATTTTTCAATGGAAAATTATGCAGAACATCCTACCTTTCCCCAATATTTTCAACCAGATTGGGTTTCACCTACCTTTGCAATGTCCATTCTGCAAAAATGGGAGGCACAGGTGGACAACACTTTACTTCACTGTGAATTCAGTGCCCGAGTTTGGGATTTTTTCTGCAATATCCTACAAGGGCCAAAACTCAGAGAAGGAATCACTCTAAGACAAAACCTCATTGAATGGTGTCTTCGTCCTAGTAATTCAACAATTCGCAGCAATCTAAACGTGGTCATACCTGGTCTTATTGCTTGGAGCCTGTGGAAGATGTACAACAGGACCATCTACAACGAAGACAAGCCTTCCCACCAGTTTGTCCACAACAACATCACCGAATCAATTCGTCTCTAGTGCTAAAATCATCGTTTCAAAAGCTGGATGACCAGAGATGAAGAATTATCTATCCTGGGTTATCAATCTGTCTCTCTCAACGGAAAAACACTCAAGATCTGCTACAGGAGATGAATGGTGATTGAGGATGAAGCATAGAGTGAGAGGACCTTATGATGTGGTTTGAGCTCCTACTCCTTATTTTCTTACGTGTATGTCTATTCTCTACCTTCAGGCCTAGGCCTAGTCCTCCCCGAACGTGTACCTTAATCCTCATCTAATAAATTCAGGTAGGCTTCGAAATTGTTGTAGAGACTCACAGCAACAGATAATTAGCTCTCTACGAACAATTTGATTCAACTATATAACACTCTTAACACAATGAGACAAACAAAGTGCTGAAGCACTTTCTCTGTCACGATCAACCACACAAACAAGGAAGATAAAAACAGTAAAACAAACACATGAATTGTTTACGCAGTTCGGAGCAACTCTCCTACTATGTGGGGCCCACGTCCGTGTAATAGCCCTTCCACTAAATCAGTGTAAAGATTACACCTTCAACCACCAATGGTACCAACTAGTGAATTGAACTAATGTACTACAGATGATTTAAATACTTAACTCTGTTAGTGTTGCACCCAATGGCTTATTACACCAACCTTGATAACTTCTGTTATTGAACGTGATGTTAGCCCTTTCTCCCGCCCTTCTTAGTTCACCAGCTGGATAGAGATTTCAGCGAAATCAACATGAACTCATGGTATGATCTGTGAAATAGCCGTGAGCTCCTTGTGCTCAGAATAGCACCGTATATCAGAAGGATCCCAGCATGGTTCCCTTCTGATCTCTCGTTGCCGCTAGGGTTCAGCCTCTCTCAATCTCTCGCTGGAATATTATGCTGTGTATCTCACCGTTCTTGACGTAAGAACATGTATATATATGCGAACTCATGAGAACCCTAGTCATGATCAGTCTTGAACTCTTCAGCAAATAACATCTCTGTAGTTTGTAGGACTCTATGCAGCTCTTAACTCACCAAGTAGACTTTGGATTCACTTAGGATTCTTCATTCCTCAAATTCCTCTAAGTAGACTCATACTCGAAATAACTGTTGTAGTTGTGATGACTTGGCAGGACACTATAACCCATAAAAGTTAACTCCTCCTAGACTTCTAAAATGTTTTTGTCATAAAGGATAATGCCAACACCTAACACATTTTAATCAACAAACCCCAAAATCAATAAACCCAACAGCTTTCCCTGGGGCTGCCTCACTGATTTTGGTGATCACTACCGGGATTAATATATATATATATATATATATATATATATATATATATATATATATATATATATATATATT